TACGATTTCTCGTACACGCGTGTAATCTCGACGACGACGACGACGACGACGATTCTTCACCGCCAATCTTCCGAATCGGCGAAACCAAAAAATAATTAACCGTGCGAATACAAGATTATTTATCCAACGATTTCCCGCTCGAACGATCGGTCGTTCTCGTTTCTATATATTTTCTATACGAGGAGCGTGCACGCGCACTCTTATCCATTTATTTTAGGGGGGGCCTATAGACGGAACGAAGGGTGTGATACCCCTCCAATGGGTGCCCCATATGCTTCGCGTACGGAAGAACGTGTACCACCACCGAGTGTGTTTTGATTTCCTTAATAGTCACGTCGGAAAATAGTACTTCTAGGATCGGTCAAGCTGAAAAATACCCGAATAATTCGTAACTCGATTCGTTTCACCCTTCGACGGTTCTGCGAGGAGAATTCCGATCGTTTATAATCGAAGGATTTTTAATCTGTACGAAATTTGGGAAGCAAAAGGAGCGAACGAAGGGATCTTAAATCTCTCTCTCTCTCTCGCTCTCTCTCTAAAAAGTAAAAGAGATTTGCCGGTCGTAAAAGCAGAGGTCTTAATTAGCACAATCGATGAAACGCAAGGTAAAAATTGAAAGAGGCGAAAGGGGCGTTGCTGATGAGCGTAGTGAGTGAGATTTCCCACTGGATCGTTTGATTCGACCAATGAATGGCAAGCCCATTTCGCTGTGCATCGCGTACGTCGTTCGCTTAATAAGTTTTTTTCCTTATCGATGTGTGTCATCTACGAGCGGCCAACCGGAGACCCGTCATTATCGTCCCTATCTCGGCTCATAGTTTTCATCATTTCCATCCAAAGTAGCGGTGCACAGCACACGCGGTTACTTACTCGTTAGGTGGAACGTGGCATTAATGTGGTCTAACATGTGTCGCTGATTGCACGCACTTTCACCTGATTAGCTTTTAACGGGACGTGAAAACGTTTTCGGTTTCTTTTTTTCCTTTTTTCTTTCTTTCTTCCTTTTTTTTNTTTTTTTTTTTTTTTTTTTTTTTTTTTTGTTTACGACATCTGACATGTACAACCCGTGTTTCTTAATGCGATTGTCATATTAATTACTTGTTCCTACCTTTTACGTAAATTTATGGCTGCCACCGAATACACACCCTTTTTTCATTCGATTATATATCTCACGGCTATAAATGTGTCGCGTTGTTATATATCTTGGCATTTGTTTCTTCTTTTACGAGAGTTTGGAATTAATTTTTCCACGATAATCGTAAAAACAAGTATCGATTAATTAAATTTAAATCGAGTACTTACTCGATTATCGATGAAATTTCTATAAACTAAAAAAAAGAAAGAAAGAAAGAAAGAAAGAACGTACGTATAAACAATGGATAAACGTTCACGTCGATTTTAACGCGAAAGCTTCGCATCGAAGGATTGGAAAGAATTGGAGGAAAGCATTCCGCGATAATAATGCTCGCAGCGGAAATTCCGTGACCGCCCTTGATATCGAGTCCATACTGATGGAGATTCGCACAGCAAGGGTGCGAGACAACGTGGCACGATTCGGTCAAATTTGCATGCATTAACGCCACAAGCGCGGCTGATTGACAATCCGTGTGTCATTGTGACGTCAGTCAAATCGCTCGAGCATCCTCGACCAATCGCAATCAATTAAGGTAACGATTGATTGTTACGCGTTCCGACTCGACGAAGGGAATATATCGCCGAGCCCGTATTTATGCGGATGATAGACGCGCCATTGAAAATCACAATATCGGAATCGACCAGGGACCGGCTTAAAACCTTCGCGCGTTTAACGGATCCACCATGGTTTTTTAAACCATTTCCCCTCCCTCCCCCCCCCTCCCCCACACACACTTTCGTTCTAGGCTCGAGTAACGAGCGAGCAAGCCGTAAATTCGTTCGCGTTTCGAATGGAAATCTGATCCCTCCTCGAAGGGTGCAAGGAACGGGAGGAGAACGCGGTCGTCGCCGCTCGCTCGCGTTGATCGCGGTATTAATCGGGCGACGGGTTATTCTCGGTGGTGAAAAATTGAACGGTGTCGGCCCCTCGAAGGGGCCATACGTCGAGAGGAAAACGGAACGATGGCCGTCGCTCGGCCACCCGAAATGGAATCCGTCAAATTGACGGAGGGTGGAGGTATATATGTGGAGAGGCGCGTCACGGCGCCGAGGGTCGCACAGGAGGAGGAAACGGAGGGAGGGAGGGAGGGAGGGAGGGAGGGCACGCGAGGGCTCTATGATCGATGTCCCGAAATTAAGGGCTTCCGCCAGCCGAGCGAAATAAAGTTAACCAATCGGGGCAACGAATCGCTCGTCCGCCCGTTATTGGCCTCCGCCGCTCTTCTCCCAGAGCGGAGAGCTCTGGTATACGCGTCGCGACGACCCGATGCCCGATTTTTTCACCCTGTCCCCTTGTTTTCCGCAGGCATGCCGATTCCAATTCGGAGAAAGAGCGACGTAGGGAGGTGAGGCGCGCGCTGGATCCGGCCGGGGGTTGGGGGAGGGGAGGGGGAGGATTTTCGTAATTATGGAACGGCGTTAGTCCCGAGGGATTCGTCGTCAGTCGACGGGAAAGCCCCTGGCCCCTGCCTCCACGGCCACGACAATGCCATTTTAATTATGCATGTTAATTGGTTTCCGAGTCCGGCGTAATACCGGCTTCTCCGCGACTATTCTCGCGGTGCATCTCTCCTTCATCGAGATGCGCTATGCACCGATCGATCCCTCCTATCATTCGAGTATTCCTTCCGCATCTCGAGAAATTCCACGGCCGTGGAAAAAATCATCGAGAGATTTCCATCTTTTCCTATTCCGTATTCGAGAGCTTTAGCTTTCCTTCGTTCCTTCTTTCTTTTCTTTCTTTTAGAAGGATCCCTCCCTTCCCTTCGACCGTTTCCGCGAGGGAAAGTGATGGGGTGAAAAAAATGGCTTCGATGTAGGAATCGCTTTTGTTTTTTTTTTTTTTTCCTTTTTTTTCCCTTTTTTTTTTTCTAGCCAGATATACACGATTGATGGGAGGGAGGGAGGGGGGGGGGCTGTGTTGTACTTTCTGCACAGCTGAGTGAGCATGTCACAATCGGCCAGGGCCGCCTCAATCAAAGTGGCATTGATACCCTTCGCCCGTTCTCTCGATCAGGCCCTCGCGCTCTCTCCATTGCGGTTTTGTTCGAGACCGAAAATCTATTAGCCTACCAATCTATAGTGTACACATATTTTCCACTACACATACGTCGCTTCTATTTAGGATGGAAACTAATTTTAATATCGATTAAAACAAAAAATTATTGCTCGTATTAATTCTCTAGTAAGATAACTTTTTTCTTTTTTTTTCTTTTTTTTTATAATTAAAAGATATTTACTCGTTTATATACTCGTCGTTTTCAAGATATTTTAAATTATTTGATTTTATTTTCAAATTTAAAATACGCGATTTTCCAAACTTTCCCCAAATCTCTACTTAAATACGTGATAAACAGTAATGCTAACCGAAACTTCTAATTCCCTGGAACGTTCATTTACTCTACGCCCAACACGATCTACCCACAAACCGAGCTAAGAGACGTAGTTTAGGGTGGCGCTCGATGTGACACGCGACCGCAACGTGGTTGCATTTACATTATATCGCGGTTTATACGATGTTGCTTGGGTGCGTGCGTGCCGTGTATCGAGCCAACATTTTCGAGATTAATTTTTTTAATGCTTTCGTCGGACAAGTCTTGTTCCACATTGAAAATTTATCGCGACACGACTAACACACTGACACAATCCCTTCCTCCCTCCCCCCCTCCCTCCCTTCCAGTTTTAACCGCGATGCGAAAACCGTCTTTATCACGGTATCGCGCTTAAATTTCCATCGATTCGTCCTATTTGCATCTTCAAAGATATATATCGTCGTAAATGATCGAAAAAGATCACCTGCTCCGCCCCGAATACGCGAAAACACGAAATAAAATTTCCTGGTCTCTTCTCTCGAAGAAATAAAATCCATTCTCTCAACGATCGTAAATAACGCCCTATGGTTATAAGCATTTGCGCTCAAATCCGGAAGACGCGGATTCGAAAAAAAGGTCGGAGAAAAATAGTTAGCCGCAAGCCCCTCTCCCTCCTGCTAGGCTTTTCCTGTCACCCACGCGTAACCCATATCCTCTCCTCCTCCTCCCCCGAAATAAGAACGAAAGCTCCGAAGCTCCGAGTTTGTATCGAGAGAGCCCCTAGGTTGAGCGCCCCTGAGCACAAGATGTCCTCCTGAAGACTATCTCGGCCTTGGTCCCGCGGGAAACCTCTTCCTTCCTACCGTTCCTATCTCAGGACACTCTATAGCCTATTCAGATACCAGGCTCACCCTACTGCTCCCATGTTAGCCAGCTTGCGTGGAACAGAGAGAGAGAGAGAGAGGGAGAGGGAGCGAGAGAGAAAGGGGAGAAGGCAAAGCGCGAGAGAGAGGGAGAGAGAGAAAGAGCGCGTCTCTGTATTTCCAAGGACAAGCGAGACACGGTGTACAACGAGCGGAGAAGGTGTGTGTATATATACAAGTACGTGGGCGAGTATTCGAGTACTCTTATACCTTACAGCCTCGCCACACCTCGTAGGAAACGTATTTTGCAAGCCTAAATATCCTGGCTTCCCGAGTCGCGGAGCCATGCGCCGCTATCTCGTGCAGGTGGCTACCTTCGAGAACGAGTTATCGTGCTCCCTTATTTCGCAGATCGTTGGGAAGGACGATAGCTAAAACGGGGGTTGGCTAAACTGATATCCACACCCATTGACGTTTCTTCCTACGAAACACGATTGTGCCACGCGGTATAATTATAGCGCGCTATATATATATATATATATATATGCACGTGCTATGTATTAAGTCCTCGTCGATGTTCGAGGAATTCGCGTACGCAACGAGGAGGATTAAAATTCCTCGAGATAAAGATTAGCGTGTTCGAAGAGTGGAGAAGAAATGAATTCGTGTAGGGGTTTGTAGGTTGACTCACCGGTCGATGATAACGGGATCGCTCGGGGTCTCGTTCCTGTTTCCGCAGCTCTTCTTGTCGCAACACCGGCTAGAACAAAATTAGACGGATCGATGAGAAATTAGTATGCACGATTTTGAAAGATTTCTTCGAGGTCGAGGGGTTGTGCGGATGGGTCCAGTCGGGGGGTCAGGAACTTGCGCCAGGTCTAAAAACTATCCGAACCCTTGGGACTTGGCGGCAAGTTCGGGGGTGGAGAGTCGTCAGCCCAAAGTCCCATGGGTCAATGAGTCAGCCACCCCCGGAGAATGATTGCATCCCCGTGCGTCTCGTTACGTTTATGGTTTGCCACCGCAAGGGTGGTTGCTCGCATGAACACCGGATATTTTTGCTCCATGCGTGTTTGCATTCGGTCCAAGTATTATCGCCGAGGAGGGATCACGAGCCGCGTATTTGACACACAAATCTCTGTGAAACCGTGCTTCGTTTCGTACGATAACAATTTACTTTCGCGTATCGCGTGTATCGGAATTCGTTTATTGCCGAAAATTACTTTCGAAATTATAATCGTGCGAACCGATTGTGATGAGAATGCGATCGATTAAGATTTATTAATTCTACGTTAATGTTAATGGGTTAACTCACCTGCACATCACTTCGTGAGTAAGAAGGACCCTACACATTTCAGGATTTTTATCTTGTCCCTCGTACATGATAGCCTGAAATAAAAGAGATAATTATTACTCCGCGTGATCGGAGAAAACGCGTTAGAGAACTATCTATCCGCGCGGTTGTAAGTCGAGAAGGGGGCCACTTCCCCTGGAACACCGCTAAGCCATGGTCGGCTTAAGCAAATCCGTTAAGCTTCCTTCGCGACCTTCCGATTGATTTTTATTTAATGACAACGCGTCGTTGCCTTGTATTCATACACTTACAGTTGGGGAACGAGATAAGGATTAGCCAGGGAATAATAAAGCGCGGGTGTTTTTGATCTCGGGCGAAAGAACGAAATTCTTTTTCGATGAGCGATGGAAAAAAATTTTCTTCGAACGGGACACGGTTTACGTTAATCAACGAACATAGGAAACGATATAATAAAATTCGACGATGAAGAGAACGAAATGAAATTATATTGCTTACGCGATAAAAACGAATTCGATATTGGAAATTTGAATATAGAACGTAACGCATCGTTATGTATCTCGTCGACGTGAGCAACTAATCGAAACCGATTCCGGTTACGAATGTGGAGAAAAAGTCGGAACATTCGTATTTCTCTCTACACGCCTCAGACGCGTAATCGTTAATCGTATCGCAAGGTATACGTGTAATTTATGCTCGAGTTGGCTGGTATTGCGCGTAACGACCTAAATTGCTAGAGTTTGCGAAGAAGCGATAAAATGTAAATACTTTGAAATACAGTGTCCTAGGGAATTGGTTCGGTTGACGTCGGCTCTTTGAATAGCGGAGGACGACCGGAGGGGAGGGGAGGGGGCTAACGATATCAAATACATTTTGCCTGGGCGGTTAGGTGTGACTTTCGGAAACGGCATCAAATATTTATACGAACAAAATAACCGAATTGCAACGTAAACGAGGCGCGATGCTTGTATACGCGGCGGAAGGTAAATCAGAGGAGGAGGAGGATCCCCCCGTCGAAGTGGAAATAGAGGGGCAAAAATAAACACGAAGGAAGGAAGGAAGGAAGGAAGGAAGGAAGGAAGGAAGGAAGAGGGAAGGGAGAATGGAAGGAGAGGCGAAAGAAGGAAAAGAGCGGTGCACGTTGTTCCTCGATAGAGGAGAACGGAAAGGAAGTATAAAACGTTTCGTGCCCCTCAGCCGTTTCGACTTCTAATCGTTGGCCAGCATGCGATCTTATTTGTATCGTGAATAATTAATACGAGTATCCGTCTCGTACACATTAACCCCTGCTCTAAGACACGGAAATATTGTTATTAGTTACTTAATCAACTAACTATATACTCCTAAAATTTCGGTCAATTCGGTTCTATTAAAGAGCACCTATCTCGAACCCGACATTCGTTCGTGTTATCGCGGTTAAACGGTTCTTTGAATCGCGAAATAAATATAATTTGTTTAACCAATAATTACATATGTATATTTAAAATGATAATTGGTTATACGCGTCCAACACTCGCGCGCAATAATTTTTGTTTGTACACGTATAACGATCATCATTCGGTGGGTCATGTACACCATCTGATACGACATGCGACATTATTTGCCCGGTAATCATCGTCGTAGGTACGCGTTGTTGATTTTACGTATATCTATTCCACTTATGGACAATTTTCAGCAATTAGTTTTTACCGCGTTGCTCGTTCTCGCGAACCACTCGATAAATTCTCGTTTTTCTTTTCTTCTTTTTCTTTTTTTTTCATTTCTATCGAACCGATCGAATGCATCTAAATACTTTAGATACTTGTTGTCGAAATTACGCATAATCGAACTTTAATAACATTTTCCAAAGAAATTTCTATATTTATTTAATTCGTTATTTCATTTCGTCGTTATACGTGCAATAATCGGTGTATAACATAAAACTTGTTGTAGGTAATTCCACCGGTAATCGAAATTCGATAGTAGATCGCGTCGATTAATATCCTAAACGAGATTGAAACGTAATTAGATTATTAACGATTGATCGCCTATTTTAAACGCGTATTTAAAAATTACAAAGATTAAAAATAACAAAGATTTGCAAAAAGTGGCAAGTGTCTTTTTACTTTCGAGCGGCAAATACGTGTTATCGGGTATCTTAGAGGGATGATTCGTTCAAGCAAAGTTTGCAAGTAGTAATATCGTCAAATGTCGTCCTGGGGGTGCGACCAATCAACATCAGCCCCTTGGAGGCCTTTCTTCCGTTGCTTCAGCTCCCAACAGAAACGATTTGGTCCTCCCTGCCGCTCTCCAATTCCCACGGGAATTACTCACGAAGGACTAATAGCGATAACATGCTAGCACTGCTGGTTTTTAAATATATATACGACGATACAGGTCCATCTACGCACTCGTGCGATCGTTTAATGTAATATCTATTTTTTTAATTTACCAAATAAACTAACGTCTCAACAACTGTTGCTTCATTATTATTCGTGTTTATATCGGTTGAAATAAAAAAGATATGGGAAAGAAAACGATGCGCTCGAAAGTAATGGTAAAAGCATAACGTTATTCACGACGAGTGTTCAAAGATGGCAGTAGAACGAGGAAGAAAAGAAATGGGAGGAGGACGTACGTAGATAAATACGAAGATAGTCATTCAAATCTGCCGTAATGATTTCCATCCCGAATCGATTCCAAAAGTCCCCTGGGAATCCCCCTCCATACCCTGTTGTGCAACCCCTGTCGCCTCACGTATACACCATCGAACAACGCGCATACAATGTTACTTTCACCCCTTGGAAGAATGTCCATCGCTTAGGGGACAGGCGACGCGCTCTCTTTCTCATCTTATCTGCCAAGGATTAACTTATCTCGAAACTTATTATTTCCTTAATCTATAGTTAAATACTCATATTTCAGCATTACATTGAACGACGTTCGAATGGCGATACCGTGATTCGATTCGGTATTATCCTACCCTTTTCACTCGCCAATACGTTTCGTTACTCTTTCTCTCCTCCTCCTCCTCCTCCTCCTTCTCTTCAAGAGCACGCGTGTTTTTTAACGACCAAGATATTTCTTCGATAATCGATTTAACGTAACGAATATACGAGTGTGACGTAACGCCGATCCTTTCTCGATTCCTTTCTGAATTCCCATGGGCGGTATTTCGTGAAAAAAAAAAAAGAAAAAAAAAAGAGAGAGAGAGAGAGTTCCGACTGATCATCTCCAGCGGCGGATGGAAGTTGGAGCTTAAAAGGGTTAGGTACAATNAGAGAGAGAGAGAGAGAGAGAGAGAGAGTTCCGACTGATCATCTCCAGCGGCGGATGGAAGTTGGAGCTTAAAAGGGTTAGGTACAATTTCCTGTTGTTCATTCATTTAAAATAACGACGGTACGCGGTTCGCTGCTTCCTCCACCATACCTGCGTCCTGTAAATGCTTTTTTATCCCCGGAACTAATTACAATTTAGCATTTTTAATCCTGCGAAAAAGCGCATTCCAGCCCTCCCACCTTCTCTCCTTCCCTCTTTCCCGGAAGTTCGTTCTCAAGCGCTTACAAACGTACGTTGTTAGCGCCATTCAGCCGCGGCATCCACGCCACTCTTCCCTCTCTTTCTCCGTGGAAGCTGCTCGTATTTTTCTGGAAATTTCAACAGAGGAACGCGCACCAGTTCTCGACATCCTGTATTTTTTTCCCCCTCCCTCCCCGCCCCCTCCCCTCCTGCTCTCCCGTCCCTGAGAGTGCTCCCTGCCACTCCACAACCGCCAAGCGAAAGTAGATATAGATACCCCAGGTTGGCCAGGAGCGAAGAAATTGAAGAACAGCTTAAGGGTAGGAGGGCTTCGCCACGGGCTCAGCAGCCGGCTCGGTGTAGCCAATTATTGCGGATTTATAACCGACCACTTGATTCGGTCTCGAGCTAGTCGGCCGCATTTCCGAATTGGAATTTCTCCACCGTAACTCCTTCATCTTCAACTATGAAATTTTTCTTCGATATTCGGTACAATTTTCTTTTTTCCTTTCTTTTTTTAATAATTTTCTTATTTATTATCGATTTGTCCTACTACTTTCGTATAATATATATATATATATATATTACAGAGATAGATTTCGTAATCTTCTCGAGTATCTATCTAAGATTAAAAAAAAAAAAAGAAAAAGAAAAAGAAAAAGAAATTTCATTAACCACTAATTTTATCATTTAAGGAAAATCACGATTTAAAAATGTCCTCTCGTCCGCGCTATTTCATCCATCGCGATGTTACGGCGATTGCCAGTAGTTTCCAAAGTGGTAATAGTAGTGGTAATAGCGACGTATACGGGACTAAACGTTACGTGCAATTTTTTTGCTTTTAGAGGTTTAATCCAGGGAGGGGGAGAAGGGAGAGGACTGCGGGCATTTGTAAATTTTGCAGGACACGATACGCGGTAAGAACACATCAACCCAGATTTGCTAAACACTTCGTACGAGTTGTTTCGCGAAACTCCATACACGGGCAGAGTAAATATATATATCGATTCTCGTGTCTGTATGTCTTCCTCTCGCTTTGCCAGAATGGAGGAGACGCGTTCAATCGAGGCTTTGATGTATAAATTGCAGCTTTCTCGTTTTCGATCCTATCCCTCCCCCATCCAACTTTCTACTCCCTTTACCGGCACGATTCCTCTATAGAGACGGAAAGGGTATCCCGGCATCTATCACTTCCGCTTTTCTTTTCCTCCGTGGACAATCGGGGAATCGCTATCGGAGACGTTTACTCCGTTCAAGATTCCGTTTCATTCTCTTACCGATGTTTCCACCGTACCTCTCCGCCCGTCCACTTACATTTTTTATACATTTCTATAGGATATAGAAATAAGAACGACCGTTCCCCGGCTTTTCTCCGAATGAATGATCTCTTTCTCGAAAAAAAGGGTATAAACGATCTTCCATTAAAGTTATCCGTTAAAAATTCTACACGATCTCTCTCTCTCTCTCTCTCTCTCTCTCTCTTTCTTTCCGCCGTTTTAAATGGTAGATTAACGCGTAGATAACTGATCCGTCACGAAAGATATTCAACCTCACGATTCAACACCGGATCCGATTAATAAAAGGAATGGATCGCGAATTGAAGAACGGTCTCTGCCGGCGCAAGGCCACCACGGCTTAGTAATTTAATCAGCTAAAACTAACATCGGCTCTCTGTTTCCCCAACCTTCCTTCGTACTCGCCCGCCTCTTTCTTCTTCTCCCTACTGCTCTTCTTACCTCCGTAACCGACCAACCCCAAGATGATTTAATCTGCTAAAATGGTGCAAGTACCTATAGGTACTTAGACAGTAGGTAGGGTCGCGACACGAAACAAAATAATTCAAGAAAGTAGGTATACCCTGCCGCGCGCGGAAACAGACGCGGGACCCTCCGAGATACTGCGTGCAAAATCTGAAAAAGAATGGAACATGTTCAAGTTCCAAAATGTTTCGGGGGGGAGGGAAAGAAAAAAACTTTATTGGATGAGAAATGGTTTGTTCACGATATAATCCGCTCGTTTCATCTAGTCCGTGGGTTAAAGGCGAAAAGCGTTTCGGAGAAAGGTTGATCGGTAGGTGCCCTCGACGAACGAAGTAAAAGACTTATCGCGGGTGGCGATCAGGCCGCTCGCGTATTTGCGTTTGCTCGAAGGTTATGATCCTTCTTTGCGCCCTATCGCCGCGCCAGGATCTACGGCCCTGTGTACAGGGTCGTCGGGAACACGTGGTTCGCGGACTGCGCGCAGGGTTGGCCACGTGGCGCAGATAACAGGATGGGGCAGACGTGCGGCGGTCGCCGCTTTCCTCGAGGGGTAGGAATCAACCCCCCGGAAAATTAAGTGCTTGTAGCGAGGATGATAATACTTCGAGCGGCGGGAACGCTCGGCCTATTTTCCGAGTGTTTCATCGCGCGGAAACGAGAGAGAGAGGAAAGGAAAATCGCGATCGCTTAATCGTATCGCTCGCCGATTAAAGTATCGTGAGACGGGATAACGAATGAAACGGGGTTCGTTTCTTACCTGTTTGGTCGCAGAGTCGATGAGCCTCACGTAGATGTCCTGTACCTGCCTAACACCTGCAACAATGAAGATATAGCGCGGGTGAATATAAAAGGTATATAAAAGGCGTATGTATATATTACGAGGGAAGAAGGAGAAGGATCGTTCTCTGCAAAAATAACCAACTCGGAATACCGATTTGGTTGACAACGTCGATGCATATCGCGATAAGCGTATGGCAAAAGGCGAGGGTAGGGAAGACGGTCTTACACAGGTTGAAAAGATAAATAGTTACGCCCTTTTTGGAACCGAAAGCAGTATCGAATAGCAGTTTTTTTCGTAAGCTTATATAAAGACTACTGCTGCTCTTTATTCAATTTACCCCGTGGGTTTTTCATCGATTCGGTAAGAAGGCCCATTAAGTTAAGAGCGTTGCGCGCAGGCATCCGCGGACGGATGTGCATGGAATACGACGAATACGGAAACGAGTCCAAATTCTGACAAGTTCGGCGCCGCTGAAAGGGACTGTTCCAGAAAAACTTACATATTAAGGAGCATTTAAGGTGGACGACGAGGTAAGCGGCTTGATCGCATCCCCGGGGACGTATGCACAATCTCCGTTGTTTTTGCATGGGCCCAGCCCGTACTTCGTACTCGGCCGACCTCGCCAACCAGATCGCCGTGCAACGAGTCATCGCGGCGAGGCAAATTCTCGTACGTGTAGCGCGTTAATTATTTCTACGGAGTTCGGTTTCGTAAGGTTTCGTTAAAATGGCTCCGACCTTTCCTCGAGAGATCGAGAGATCACGAATCGAGGGAAAATCGTTTCCCCTCCATCTTTCCATCATCGGATCGAGAGAGACGCGAGAATAAGAAATTTACGCTGCGAATAATGGGAAACGCAGCTCGTTAAAATTTACCTAGGATATTTTAATCATACGAAATTACATCCATTAGAGACAGGTTGATTCGTTATTACCCGGCGCGCTAGTGGTGCGCTAGCTAGCGGTTCTAGTTTATTAGCACTGGAACGAGCAATTTTGTCGCGCGATCGAGCTCCGTCCGTATTACCGCGCTTGGCTATTGGTACATCCGTTATCGGTGGTCGAACAACCGGCCTCGATGTTTATATCGCATTCCGCGGTTCGGAAGCAAGTTTTCGAAACAGCGCGTGGAGGGCTGCGCGGGAGGGATGGTAATCCCGGGGAGTATTTTGGACAGACACCCTCGTGGCTTCCGGCCTCGCGTGTCCGGTAAGCCGAGTAATCCGGACATAAGACTGGCCAGACTCCCGCCGGCTACCAGAGGAGGAGGAGGAGGAGGAGGAGGAGGGAGCAGACTCGAGCCGCATAACGTTACCATGGATTACGATATTCCGGCCGAAACTAGCTCACAAATTACCTCGAGAAACCGTCGCGGCTTTACCGGAAGTTATCTCTCTCACTATCCTATCTCTCACTAGAGAGGAGAGAAGAGGAGGCACACTGGACAGGGCACAATAGGAACGTCGATTACGCCGAGGTTGATTGGAAAACGGTCGTACACACACGATCAATTGTTAACTGTTTTGCGAGGATGAAACGATTTCTGTCATTAGAGCGGAATGTTAGCGGTTTCCACGATTTATTGCGGTTATGAGCTGTTCCCAGTGTCTTGTTTTTCAAACCTTGGCCGATCGTTGTTCGATTCGATTCGATTCGACTCGATTCAGAGTCGAGCATCGTAGAGATCGAGTTTCTTTCGTTATCGTTATCCATGCTTTTTTTCTGTAATTATTATTACCAGTTTGTATAAAATCCAGTATTTTGTCTCCGTTTTATACAGAAATATCGCCGAGGGGGAGGGAGAAATTTTTCGAAAAATTCGTCGATCCTCCAGTATATCCTGATAGCTTTTAGGCGCATAGCGTCTCGCTTTTTACTCGAGAGATGTTTTAAACGCGATTTAAAAAGGAAGGAAGGAAGGAAAGGAAATAAAAGATAACGCGGTTCGTTATTTCTTACCTTTATCGGTAAATTTATAAAGAGATTCTCTCCCGGTATTGCGGTAACGCTTACACATTTTTTTTCTTCCTTCTTAATTCATATATATATATATCTCGGTCGTAATAATAATAATAACAATAATAATAATACCTCGAAGTTTGCATGGATTATGGGATTTTCCGATCAGAAATTATTTTGCGGCTCATTTTTTTTTTCTTCTTCTTACGATACTTTCTTTCGAATCTTTCGAATAGATTTCGAATTTCGATCGTATCCGTTCCGTATCGAGGAATCCACCATATTTCCTTTTTCGTAAGGAAACTTTATTATATATATAACGGTATCGAGTTTAGTTTTTTTTTTTTTTTTTTTTGATCGCATGTAAAACGCTCGAAACTTTTGTTACTCGGTCTGTCTCGATTCCACGGATAGCACAAGGAAGAAGTCACCGGGGGGGAGGTTCGCTTAAATAAAATCGCGTCCATCGGAGATAACGAAGATTGCTCCCCCGTTCTCGGTATGTAAACAAGACAAGGTATAAAATCACTCGTCGAACTCGCGAATTCATTTATGCAAGCGCGCCGATGCATGTTAAAAGGGAGCACGATTACGAAGCGCGATGCCGTGACGCGGCATCGGAATCGGAGCGTGTACGTGTACGTGTCCCGCGACAGACGTTGCGGCGACGATCGTGATCGTGATCGTGATCGTGATCGTGGCTCGAACCACGACGACGAGGACGACGACGACGACGACGACGACGACGACGACGACAACAAAGGCGAAAGATGGAGAAGAAGGTAGCGTAAGAAGCGGTATCGCGTGCCAAGTCCTGCTGAGAGGAGGCAGATAGATCCGTTCGTATTAGCATAACTAGGCAACCAACTTCAACGCGCGCAAGAACCGATCGAAGAAGCGGACACCGCCCATTTTATTCGTCCCGATCGGCATCCTTAATCAGCGGCGCTCTTATTACGAGCCGTTATATTCCGCGTCCCAACCGCCACCACCCCTCCCCCTCGCGCCGTTCATTCTATTTCCACGTCTCTCCTTCTCTCGAACTCCGTCTCTGCCCCCCTCGCCTCCACCTCGGTCCAGCTCGGTCCACCGATCGCGAGCCACCTCGTCTCGCGGCAGAGGCGAAACGAATGGGATGGAAGGGAGACGGAGAACGGAGAGAGGAATGAAAGAAATCGAATGAAATGGAAGAGAGACGACGAGGAGGAGGAGGAGGAGGAGGAGGAGGAGATGCGACAAAAAGAAGCAGAACCTGATATGGAGAGAAGCGGTGTCGTCACTCGAACAGTAGTAGGTAGCCTCGTGTTCCTCCCGTTTATCGTTATTATTTAATTATAGATTTATCGGTGGATCGAGGGATCGGTGACGCTCGGACACGGAATGCGCGGATCCGATCGTGCGCGAGGAGACGGAGTTGCGGGGAGAGGGGACGAGAAGGGGATTGGCGCGAGCCAGCGCCAATTTGTCTTCTTCCGATATAAAAGCTGGACGGCTAAAGTATTTCGTGCATGAAACTTTTATAGGAGGTGAGTTGTTCTCGAGCGACGGTCCGAACAGAGGACACCGATCTCCGGATCGAGGCATAAATCAGAGCCGCGACGATCTATCGACTCGCTGTAAAGGACATAACCGGTGCCTCGATGGAAGACGTATAGGCTCCGTTATATCGTAACGTTCGGTTGCATCACTCGCTCATTGAGAATCGCCTCCGCGAGAACATTGGAGGACGTTTTATGGACCTCGATTAGCATTTCGGTGTCGCTCGATCGAACGCGCTACATCGATTACAAATTGCGACGTATAATTCAAAAATTTGTATATTTGTATTTTCGAGCATTTATTTCCGAGATCGGAGAAAGCGGTGAGAAATCGCGGAGAGATTATTACGAAATGGGGCAAAATACGGGAGGCAAGCGTTTATTTAGGTGTCGAAGGTAGAGCGGACGATAGAGGGAATAGAACGAAAAGTAAGGAGCGAGAATGGTGGAATCTAGGATCCCGAAGGTGGGCAGCAGCATAGGTATTCCATAGGTAGGGATAGTTAGTTATTTCTTGTTTGCAATGTTGGCAACACGTTTTAGTGCCCATAGATGGCAGGGCGGCCCCTCAGTCAGTCGTGCCAACGCAAAAATCTCGCATTGATTGATCGGCTCGCAAACGGCAGAGGCAAGAAGGCTGATGGTATGAGCCGCGGAAAAGAGAAAGGGGAAGTGGAAAAGAAACGAGGGGAAGATGGTCGCGAGAGAAAGAGGCATGAGAACGGGCAAGAAACGGATAAGATAAAGAAAGCACCGCGGAGGTTGACGTTGTTCCCGATGTACACGGGTTGAAAAAACGTCTGGAATGAAAGCCAGCAGATAGCGCCTTGTGGCTTTTTAATATGTTCATAATACGAGCGCGTTTTTGAAGAGTCTCTCTCTCTGCTGGTCGGACCACCTCCGGATCATCCGCTTCTTCTGCTCCCTTTTCTCTCCCTTGTTTCTCCTTTCCTTCGTTCCTTCGTTCCTTCGTTCACGCACAGACGTTCGAACGGTTTCTTCGCGACGGAAACTAAACTCTTTTTGTCCAAGCTGGACCAGTGACATAAAATATGTCTCTGTTGCACTCGTAACTTCCTCAGCTTTTTAGCTCCCCTCCGAGACCGAGTGTTTGCGCGGAATGTTGATGGCCCGTCATCGTCGCTTCGGATGGGATTATCGCGTGGCTCGCTCTTCCAGATTGACTCGAAACCTTTTTTTCTTTTCTAAATCGACCGAATCCATTTCCAATCCTATCCCATTCGTACTACTTCTTTTCGAATAAAATTCCCACTAACTTTTTCTTCCCCTCTTCTTCTCGCCGTTTTAACGCGCGCTTTTTATCGCGATCTCGTTCCAATATTTATCGGCCATGTTTCTTACGATTTCGCGTTTCTTTCTTTCCCCCCCCCCCTCACCTCCCGAGATGAAATTCAAACGCGAAACTCGATTAATAATCCGATCGTACAGCTTTGATAATATGTACATTTTAGAAATAGAGCAGACCGCAATTTGGTATTCGTGAATTGATACGATGAGTCATAATTAATATGATTCGGTTTACTCACCGTTGGAGTACAACAGATGCAGGCTATATTGAATGCCATTGTTCGTTTTCTGTCCTTCGGATTCCTACGAACAAAAACGTATAAACGTTAATCGTTTGCATCGTTTAACAAGAGAGGGGAAAAAAAAAAAAAAAAAAAAAAAAANAAAAGAAAAAGAATATATCAAAGTACAAGATTAATTGCGCGTTCGACAAACAGGGATATGATCACGTAAGACGTCTTCCTCGAAACGAAACTGCGTCCGTTTTCAATTACGCAACGTCTAGGCCGATTCGCCGATCCATTAAATCGGCACGAGCGAATTTTCAGACGTTAAATCTCGTTAATCTCGGTAAATTCGGCGCGCGCTTAAATGGTTGGAAGGGTGGTGGTGAGTAGTAGGCGAAGGAGCGGAGATTCAGCCGTTGCGCGTTCTTCACACCCCGTTCTATTTTAATTAAGTGCACCGTGACGTAACTCTGGCGCGCTCGGGTCTGCTCCACCTCACGCTAATTATTAATTTCTTGATGTGCCGGTAAGAGCCGTGCCATTACGTATGGCGTGCGATGCATAATTATCATCCTGCCCTGTTGACGAGTCATGCGTGCATCGCGCCATATGCCGCAGCCGCGGTAATGCATTTTCAACTACCCCTACTACACCCCTCCAACACCCAGGACTCGACCCCCTTCTCCCCGTTTCACGGCCACGACATTTACCCGTTCCCAGTATCTTCTTTTTCGATAACAAAGTAACCTTTTTCGAAAACAACCACGAGTTCGTTCGATACCGAAATTAACATAATTAACGGGTATCTTGATCGGATTCGTTACGATCGAATCTCCACCCCGATACGTCATTATTGCGTCAAAAGTCATTATTGCGTGATTAAAAGATCGATTGATCGGCTATGGTAAGTAATGAATTGCAAGTAACACGCGTATTACGTACATCCGTGCGAACGAAAATTGTATTCGAAAATATAGCACACGTAGATCTTCCCTATCGAAAGTTTTGATAATCGTCGCAGGATCGTTCCTCTCCACCCCTTTTTTTTCCTTTCCACCCAAGCGTACTCTTTTCCTGCCGGCTGACGTTCGTCGCGGCCATTAATCTTTAAATTCGCGAGCGCACGATGGACGTTAATCAGGCGTGTACACGCTCGATCCACGACTACTTTTTAATTAAACGCGAATAAAAAGCGGATAGGAACGGAGAAAGGACGAATACCCCTCCCCTACGTTTATTTACGTAGGGCATCAGTTTCCGGGAACCGCTGTTACTACACGCTCTATTCATACACACACACAGGCGTTTGCATCGCGATAAAAGAGTTTGCCTGGTCGATCGAGCGGCAAGGTTCTATAGGAAAGGATTAGGTTACCTCTTTCTTTGCTCACGAAAAATACGTAAAATCGATATATTTGTCGATGCTGCGACGATCTGGAAACCGGCACAGGACACGCTGGTAAACGCAAAACGGGGGGCTGATCTATGCTCACGGTGCACGACCCTAATTAATAGGGAGGCTACAGCGATGCAACTGTCCAGCTCACGTGAATTATACATATAGACGTGTGCTCTTACGAGGAGTGGATGGAGGGGGGGAATGGAGATATCAAGATAGCCGATGCAAATCCGAACCGAAGGAATAGAAAGTGTACACTTGTCCGCTGACTCGCAAATGAGTTTCAGTTTCGATGCGTCTCTCTCTGCTTCTTTCCACCATTTGCATTTCAGGTCGTCTGATCTAATTTAATTTAGCGGGATGTTAAATGTTCGCATGCATATTCGAGATTCGAGAGTTTAATTAGGGGTGTAATTTCGAATAGGTGTAGAGAGAAAAAGAAACACCTAAACCTGGTAAATAATCGAGAATGGGTGGAGTTAAATTCGTGGATTAAAATTTCAAATCTTCTTAATCTTTGGACAACGATTCGAGACGAAATCGGTATCTCGGCTCGTCCTCACTCGAGGCGTGGAGAAAGACGAAACGCGTGGTGAAAATGAGAGACGGACGAAGCTAAGTGACGGAAAGAAAGGAAAGGAAAGGGAAAGAAAAGAAAGGAAAGAAAAGGAAAGGAAAGGAAAGGAAAGGAAAGGAAAGAAAGGAAAGGAAAGGAAAGGGAAAGAAAAGAAAGGAAAGGAAAGGAAAGGAAAGGAAAGGGAAAGAAAGGAAAGGAAAGAAAAGGAAAGGAAAGAAAAGGAAAGGAAAGAAAAGGAAAGGAAAGAAAAGGAAAGAAAAGAAAGGAAAGGAAAGGAAAGGAAAGGAAAGGGAAAGAAAGGAAAGGAAAGGGAAAGAAAGGAAAGGAAAGAAAAGGAAAGGAAAGGAAAGGAAAGGAAAGGAAAAGAAAGGACGAAAGAAAGTTGGTTCTACGAAATAGAGATTTGGTCGATAGAGAGAGAGAGAGAAAGAGAGAGAGAGAGAGAGAGAGAGAGAAAAAGAGAGAGAGAGAGAGAGAACCATTCGAAATTCTACATCCGTACAATCGTACGTACACTCGTGTCACGGTAATTTATCCTTATATCGTGGATCTGGATTTCTGTCATGTATCTGACGTTTCGAGTGTTCTATGATATACACGGGTAATCGATTTACGATGTACAAACTCGAACCTCGTACTGGTTCGAGGCGCACGGTAGAAGGGATACGCGACCATTCGCGTGGTCGTCCGCACGAACGATATCTCTCTCACTCTCTGTCTCTCTCTCTCTCTCTCTCTTTCTCTGTACCAGTGCGGTTACAGCGATTTCTTTTGCGCAAGAATGAGCGTTAAATCGCGTGTGGCAGTCAGCTTTTCCTTAAACAGCTATACTAATTGACCAATAGAAAGTGGAGCTCTAACGATGACTGCGCCGCTGTCAATCGTGTCCCGCTCGCAGACCGTTCGCACGGGGTCGCGACTTATCCCCGAGTCGTTTCGATCTTTTATCCTTCCGATCTATATATCATCTCGATCATAACTGATAACTTTACGTTTAATTGAAAGATCACTCGATCTTTCAAGATCGACGGGATTTCACCCGTTGCAAGAAAGCGCAGGGTAACCGGATGGCTCGAGGAAAAAGTAGAAAGAACGAAGAACGATTGTTTGTGGTTTGAATTACGAAAAAAAAAAGAAAAAAGAAGGAAGAAAGGTAGAAAAATTGCAACTTTCGCGTCACAACTATGTTTTGAATTCGAATTCGCGAGTTATTAGTTAATGCGTTACGTGTATTTTTCTTTTTCCACGCGGATCTCGTTGCAGATATAAATTATTTATTGATTTAAAAGGGGCAAAAACTTAAGAAAATCGCCACAAAAATGAATGCTCGAGAGCTACTGTTACGAATCAATCAGAGAATAGGAAAACTGCATAGTCGAAGAAATTTGCATTTACCGATTGATTGCTTTTTAATTAATGCATTCTCGGGGGGAAAAATGTAAAGGTTGAAAAGCACGTATTAATGACTTTATTTGCCAGGAATTCTTGCCATTTCTTCGAACGGATGCAATGAAAATACATTGGATACTTCGATTTACGCTTGCGATATTTCAATAAATTCGAACTTGACGATTAACATTCCCTCCCTTAACATTTCACTTTTACAATTATTTTTATTTACTTTGTATCTACATTTCGAACGGTAAAAATTCGAACGGAGGGAAAGACATGACGTATCGATCTAAATATTTAAAGCTAAGACGTTGGGCGAATAATCGAATATAACGGTTATTCCGCTCGGGGACGTATTTTCAACGGTAGAACGATTTAGTAACGAATGTTGGAAGAGATAGAATCTGCGATAGGAAGAGAGAGAGAGAGAGAGACGAAAGAAAATGGAAAGGTTATTATTCGTAGGTTGGCTCGATTCGCGTGACAACAACATCGATGCTCTTACGATCGCGTCCGTCCATTTCTCACGCGGCCAATGGATTTTCGCCTGTCGGACTAATTGCTGGAAAAGCTGGAGGTGTATCCTGCCGACTATCGATATGTATACGTATAGGCGGAGCCGTTTAATATTTGACGTCGCCCCCGATGGAAACGGCAATTATCGAGATAAGCGTACGCTCGCACGATATTCCCTCATGTCATAAAGGTCCACCTCGCCTTTTTCCACTTAACCTCATGGGGAAAACGGGGACTACGATGTGCATTGAAATTCCAAACTTGTCACTCCACGCCATCGCTTAATTTTAACTTGATTATTAACCAATGATCCCCGATTTTTTATCCATACATATATATACATCAAATGCGCGAGATCTGAATTTTTCCCTCTACAATCTTCTAGAATCGTATTTATATATATATATGAGGAAGTGTCTTCTTCTCTTACCTGATCTTTTTCGACGAAACCCATGAAAGAAGTCCTCTCTATCTCGATCGGTTGTCCGTGTCGATCGTAAAGAGCGATCACGAAATGGAAGAAGTTACTTTTTCTCAAATTACTCGGTGGTTGTTTTTCGAAGTGCGCCCTGCCGACGCCGACCCTGAAATTTAAAAATATAACGTACAAATTTTATTACATCGCTCGACGCGTTCACGAATTATTTAATCTTTCCTCGTCGTTTATTCCCAACACCGCGTAAACAAACGTGCATCCTCCAAAATAAAAATTGTATTCAATTTCGATCTCTCTCTCTCTCTCTCCCTCTCTCTGTACTATGTTCAAGAATCGCGAGCATTTCAGCAGGATCGTATATGAATACAGCGCGATTACCAAATTCGGACGTCACAAGCGAGATCCTGTATCGTAGGGTCGAATAGGTATATCCTATTCGGCCTCGAATGGAATAAGAATGGCCAAAACTGGTAGAGAGGAAAGACAAACGAGGTTGTCCGTGGGGGAGCGCGCAGGTGGCCTCGACGCCTTAAAATCCCATTAAGGTCTCATGTGCCGAGATTAGGCCACCGGACTCCAATGCCATCTTTGAGTAATGGCACGGAAAGTCCCCTTTTCCACTGCGCCACTTCGCACAGTTCGCGTCTAACGCTCCGATTCATCCTCAGCAACGTGACTTTTCGCCGGGCCTCGTGTCACCTCGTGCCTTTTATTTCGCCTCTCGATCTCGATGAAACAAAATCTACACGTAGACGCGATTACTTTTCCATTCTGTCACTTAAGAAGATCGTTTTCGCCTAATCGATTTCCTCCTAACCCCTCTTACAGATACTGAACGTAACACCTCTCTGTTTCGTGTAAACGCGTAATTCCATCCTCTCTTTCGCATCGTTGAGGCCCGTCCATAAAAATTATCGCGTAATTCAGATTCTTCGAAACGATAGAAACGTTCGCTCGAGAACAACGCGGCTATCGATGAAGCGATTGAAGGTAATAAAAAATAGAAAGGCAAGTAAAGCACACTTTGCTACGAATACAACAATCCGCTAGATCCGTTTCGATCCCAGTTTTTTCAAATTTTGGGATAATCACGCGTGGAAAATAAAAAGAGGGCAAGACGGGAGGAGTGGTGGAAGCGCGAAAGGGAAGTTTTTAAGCGCGGCGCGGAGAAATCGCATTATCGGGTAGCGGTGATCGGGATCGCGGGTGCGGTACGGCGGCGATAAAACGATGGCGCGTGTGCGCGGAATAGCGCGCGCACTGCCATCAGGACGGTCTCTCAGAGCGGAAAACTGAATCGACTGGACCGAAAATGAATAGCGGCAGTTTTGCAGCACATTTGCGAAATAAATGATGGTATCGGCGGTGCGTTTGTCACGGGAGGCGGTGGGATGTCGGTCTGCCGGCAGGCAGAGGAGGCAGAGAGCAGGAGGAGGAGGAGGAGGTGGAGGTGGAGGAGGAGAGGGTTAGAAGGGGTTCGGGATCCGGGTGTTTCGAGGGCGAAGAGGGTGGTGAATCGGATGCAGAGAGAGAAGAGAGGGTCTGGTGGAGGGAAGGAGGCCAGTGGGGTGGTGGAGAGGTTGGGAGGGTAGTGATGTACTGCCCGTGTCGATAATTATCGGTGGCTGATTAACCGGCCGCCGGTTCGCGCCCCATAACTCTCGACGTCCGATTATTTTGCCCCGTTTGCCATGCACCAATTCCTATATAACGTGTAGCCACGTCCTACCAAGCCTTTACATTATCACCTGCGGTGCAACACTGTCGCGCACCTTTTTCCAAACTATTGCGGATTGCGGCGGCCCACGGTTTCGCGGTTTCAAGATCGTCCACGTTCCAATAACAATAATAGTGACGCGAAACCTTATCTTTTATTACGCATCGACGCTGTCAATAATTCGTCTAAAATTTCCTCCCCTTCGCTATTTTTCCTACAATCAATTACTCTCTTCGTAAACGTCGACGATACCCAAAGCGATCAAGTAACGCACGATTGGTCTATACAAACAAAGAAAATAAGAAAACGAAGGATTATAATCCCTTTATTATAAGCGGTTATTTTTCGCGTCACTCGTGCGCCGAATAAGAACCATGCCAACAATTCACCCGCCTTGACGAACGAAGACCAAACGTTTAAAAATCTCGCCTATATCGGATTAATAGAGAGAAGCTTGTAAACAGCTTCGAATCGTTCATTTAAAAGGGAAAGAAAAGGGAAAAAGAAATGTAATAAAGCCGAGAACGCTTTGCTTTGCTTTTAAACAGCTTTCCTTACCAAGTAATCCGTATTCCCCCGTTCTCCCCTCTACCGACGTATTTTTGTGCACACGCGTGTCCTTCCTTAGAAAGAAGGAACGCGGGTAACTGGTGGACCAACGTTGGAGAGGCCGTAGCGAGCGACGCGGAGGTGATAATTACAGGTGGGATTGCCGGATTCCCGCAGCCGGGATTCGCAGGCAGGTAGGTAGGTAGGTAGGTACGTAGAACAATTTGCCACGCGCCCGCTTTCGGATAGCAGATAACGTTGATCGGTGGGGCGCAACGTGCCCCGCTGCATTCGCACTCGGCCTCGAGGCACGACCGAACGCAACTCCCTGTCCGCGTAACTTTTCTTTCGAGTAACGATTCGTTCGATCGGCCGACAAAGATAACCCGATACTCGCCGCGCGCCAAATACGCAAATGAAGATGTAGGACGCGATAGGTGTTCTTTTCGCGCGATACCAGTTTTTCCCTGCATCGTTGCGCCCATTGGTGTGGTGGCAGGGACGTTACCAACGCTTTCTGCGTTCTTAGGAAAATGTCGATTTAAGGAAAACGGTTCGTGGGGAGAGAGAGACAGAGAGAGAGAGAGAGAGATACGTGCGCGAAATCGAAGCGAAACGAAGCGGGACCCACGCTAAGTCAAAGATTCGAGTTAAAAACTCGAGGAGGAGGAATTCGGTCACGATCCATCGGACGAGATCCCCAATTTAGGAGTCGCGGAGTCCCCTTCTCTCTATATTCATACGCATAATTCGTACGAAACGATAACACGTTCGATTTACTTCTTTTTTTTAAATATCATTGGGGTAAGTAAGGTGGAAACTTATCGCGGCTTGAGATATCGAGAAGAAAAAGGAGAAAAGAGAAAAAAAAGATTCGAAAAAGAAACATGGCGTAGAACAATTTTTGCCCGATCGGTCGCGGAGTAAATATTGACGCGTTGGCAATTTGCGAGCGCAGATCGTCGAATGATCGTCCGGGCTATATTCTGTACTTTACACGCGAGCCGCAACCTATGCTATTTGCGCACAATGCATTACGGGCGAAATATGCGGATAATACGAATCCACGGATACGGTTACGAATTCGTGGATAAAGCAATCGCGGAGAATTACAATAAATCCGCAGTTAATGTATACCAGCGGGCGTTAGTTATTACGAGTTGGCCGAAGCGCAGTCTATTTACGCTTGCACCCAACGTGATTCATAATGCGCGTGGAGATAATGAGCAATTTGTAATATATCCGAATGTAATTCGCAACTAGTCCGCGTTCCCGCGGATGCTGTTCAATTTAATGCCGTATTTCACTGCCTCGCCCGACAAAAATTTATTAATTCGTTCACCCACGCTCTGCTCTTTTGTTACATGTATATATATATATATACGTGTATGCTTTTATTACATGCACGAACGAACACGCCTCTTTATAACTTTTCTTTTCGAATTAATTCCGCGAAAACGAAAATTTTCCGTAACTTTGCAGATATATATGAGTAAAGTTTCGCGATTACATTAGGTAAAACGTAAAACGTATTCACCGATTTGCGAAAGCAACAATCGCTTTACAACTTTCCCTTCGTCGTATATTCCTTTTACTTTCGACCCTAGAGTCGCAGGGAAAGTCATTGTTTTTCCACGCAACTCGTCCCTCGCTCGGAACCACGGATGGTTTACTGCTTCATTAGGTGGCTAACTTTTTTAGGGGTTTTTAAAAAGCGCGAGAGTTTATGTCCGTTCGCTGGGAGTTTTAAAACAGTTTCGCCAACCCCGCTCGCAACCCCCTCTTTTCGAGTCGACGTACACCGCCGCCGTTCTCTCTTCTCGCCAAGGAAATGAAACTTTCCACGGTAAATTTGAACGGAAACCGATTCCAACGCTCAACCGACTTGTCTTTGTTTCGCCGTTGTTTCAATCGAGCACCGATTCGAAAGAGTGTCACTCGCCATTATTCAATTTTTAACCGATTCGCCGTAATCGAGGATAGATATCGTACGTAAAATGAAATTTCAACGCTTTTCATAATAAAATACGCCATCGCGTTACGCGTATTACCCATATTTATTAATTTACAACGAGTTCGTTTCGCGTATAAAATTGTATTAACGCGAAATTTTACGCGCATCGATGCAACGAGCAGGATGATGGCATCGAATTAACGTTAAAAACAACGCGGATAAAGTCATTGTCCGTATTTTCGATTCGATTACTCCTCACTTAACGAATATATCTAATTCAGTCGTATTGTTTCGTTATATATATATCTCTCTCTCTCTCTTTGCGAATCGATATCACCCGTGCGATGAAACAAATTGTCTCTGTTATTTTTTTTCAATCGAAGATAGCTCGATCGATTCGATGAAATATCGAAGAAAACGGAAAAAGAAAAAAAAAAAAATGGAGCTATAAAATTCGTGGTTAAGCCGCGATAATTTTTCGGTTTTTCCTTCTTGAGACGCGGAAAGGGCGGAATAGCCCGGAGGAAAAACGATCGAGCGAAAGAAGGGGAGGAGAGCAAAAGGCGCTAAAATTCTCAATTACATTAACTCGATTCCGGTCGCCCACTCCCGTGTCACGCCACTTGGAAGGGGTTAGTTAAGAGAACCGCTATTGGATTAGCGAGCCCCCAACCCGCTCGGTTTACCTCCTCGAGTCCGCGTATCTGTACCTTCGTCGTTTGCACGTCGTACAAATCCCTTAAGCGAGGCTGCAATAAAGCACGGTTTATCGTTCGCCAAATGCAGCTACGTGTGAACCGCTTTGAAACGCTCGGTTTCCAAAGATAAACTGGATATTTGTTCGCGTGGCACGAAATACCACGAGACCATTGTCGCTCCCCGATGACGCGTCATAATTCGGACGTGTCTTCGAATTCGAAGAGAGAAAAATAAAGAGGGGAAGAAAGAGTTTTTCCATTCTCTTATCTCAGACGGATGCTCGATCTTTTTTCTTCTCGATATTTCTCTGGCCCGGTGTTTTTTCAACAATTTCGTTTCACACTTTGATAACAACGATAATAAGAAAAATCTATCTATCTAAATTGGACATTTTGAAATTATTATTCGTTCGTGAAATTTATCTTTCCTCGTAAATATTTTCCTCTCGTCGTTCCGCGCAATCGTAAACGATACTCTCTATCCGACGGATCGCGACATCGCGATGGCGCGTTATTTACGAATATATATACTTTTCTCCGAATTTTTACGCAAATTTCCAAGAAAATTAACAACGTTGCGAACGATTCGAAATATTTAACATACGACGCGCACGTTCTCCTCGAAACTTTGTTCAATCCACGCGAATAAATCTATCCTTAACGATATCACGGTACATTACTCGTGAAACAGAAAACAAGCAAAACAAACTCTTGTCCCACGTTACGCGTAGTAGAGAATTTCCGTTATTAGCGACAGGATCGATTCACTTTTACCTCGAGATACGAAGACAAAATGTTGGCGAAACGAGGGAGGGGAGGAAGAAGAAGCAAAGAAAAGAAAAAAAGAAAAAGAGAAAAAAGAAAGGAGGGGTAGTATACTCACGTTCCGTTGTCGGCGAGCGCGGGCTGTGGCCAAGCACGTGGCACCGGTTCCTCCTTGAGTATCTGCCTCATGTCCTGAGGCGCGAAAACGAGAGGCGCCCGCGGGTGGTGATGAGGCGGAGGCGGTGGTGGAGCTACACTCGCCCCGTACAGCTTACGTCCCCAGTGGCCCTCGAGTTCGACGGGGCTTCCGCCCCCGGTGGTAGCCCCCGTGCCACCCCCTGCGCCAAGCCCGAGCCATGGCGACCCCCCAGCACCCACGATCGTGGAGCTGGGCAGGAGACCGCTCCACTCGTCGGACCGCGTCGTGAGGCCGTACGGACTCTCCTGGGGCAACAGGCTTTCTCCTTCTCGTTGCCACCCTTCGCGAGAACCTTCCTCGCCGCGGCTGATCGAGAGAGATCGTAACCTCTCGGTCAGAACGCTCCTCTCCACCGCCACGTTTCCCCACGGGAGAGCATCAATCGAGTCTCTCGATCTCGATCCCTCGCCCTCGTTCCTCGATCATCGATATATACGTCCGTCTTCCGATCTATGCCCCCGACACGACTACCATTTCCGTCACACCGTTAAATCGCGCGTGATTCTTTCACCGTGATTCCAATTTTAGCTCCAACGAATGCTCGACACCACTCGATCCCCCTCGATCCTCTCCTCGCTTCTTCCTTCCTTCCTTCCTTCCTTTCTTCTCTCCTTCTCTCCTTCCCTCCTTCCTTCCTTCCACTCACCACTGTTTTTTCCTCTTTTTATCTTTTCCTTTTCCCGGTTACGAAAACAACAGCGTCACAGTCCTCTCTCGTGTTCGTATCGTCTCGGCTTCGTCGTCGCTCGCGTTCAGTCACTAAACTCGCTCACTCTCTCTCTCTCTCCATCGTCGTCTCACTCTCGTTATATCGCGCGGCACGACGTAGTCGCGATGAAACGGCGGATAAAGTTTCGAGGGGAGATTTTCTCTTCGAATTTCCGCTCTCGTTCCTCTTTCCCGGTCCAAGATCCCCAGCGTGAACGCGCGCCACTCCTCCGAGATCGTGGAACGATCCACTTGGGATGAAGCGAGATCGAGGTTGGTCGGGATACGCGCGTGGAGCAGCGGGTAATCTGAGTAGTAGCGGGTAGTAGCGTGGTGCGTATATCGTGGACACGAAAGTGTCGGTAGGGTGTCTCGTGACCAGAAGAGAGGTCCTTCGAGGTCCCTAGCCGCGCGTTGCTTCCCGTTACGGCGCCGCTTGTCGAATGTGTCAGGGCCGGCTCGAGCGGCGTGCCACCGGGTCCCAACGGGGACGGGCCTCGAGATTCTCGGTGGGTGTGGCCGCCACGGACACGGCGCAACGACCAGCCTGCCAACATTGCCTTGCCCATCCTCGATTTTCCTCCAATCCACCGCCTCTCTCTCCGCCAATCGCCACGATCGTGTCTCTACATCACCGACGCCCATCCGCCGACCCGAAGACGGTGGCGCCGCGACGGCGATGTCACGAGGCTGTCATTCCGCCGCGCGCCGCGGACGATCCAGGGTTGAACTCACGTTTCTCCTCCGTTCAATCGCGAGAATCGCGTCCCAACTCGAATCTCATGCTCGATATTCTTCGAGGAAACCGATTCCATTCGCTTCGAGAGACGCCAATTTTCCGTTTCCGCGAAATTCGTTTTTCTTTCTTCCTCCTTTTCCTTCGAATCAAATTTCTCCATGCAATCTCGTTATTAGTTTTACTTCTTATTCAACGATGACATCCACGTTCCATTTATTATTATCGAGATCCATAAAAGAGTGGATGAATGGTGATATTCCCGAACCGATTTATCAGATATAATACATTACTCTCATCGAATTAACTTTGGTCGTTAAAAAATCAAATTTCAAGCGGATGTTTAGATTAATATAAATCGAACGAATGGGAGATATTTAATAACTTTATGGATGAAATAATACGAATTCGGAAAAGTGAATTTCCTTCGCTTAGATGGAGGAAATCGATCCAATCTTGTCTCCAAATTTGCTTGTTTTTACCGTGGCGTTGTTTAAATCGTTTGTCAACCACGTATACATCAAAGAAATTGGACGGGTTTTCGAGACGGCGAAAAAAAGGAAGGGAGCACGCTTGAATCGACGGTTGAAAAGAAAATCGCCGCCAATGAGCGGTGTCCTCCGAGTATTTGCAAGTTGGCATGCTGAAATACAGGCCGATGGCGCGGAGCAGTGAGTGTCCTTTTCGGGAGAGACGTCTCTGGCAAGGAAGCTATCTCGACGTGGGGACGTTTAATGGCAGGTGCGTCACGTATCGCGAAGAAACACCTCACTCTGATGTGGAAGCTGCCTGCCTCCGACTCGCACCTAGCCTGCCCCAGTTTTTATCGAGGCGTAATCAAGTACGGGGAAATCCATGGCCTCTCCCTCAGGAGACCATCGCGAGGTTTACCAGCAACTGGTCTCTACCCGATCCTCCTTCTCTTGTCAGGTTTAGCGTTCTTGGTAATTTTCTACACCTGGTTATCACTTGTCTTCGAAGGAATAAGCGTTCAAAGAAGATGTTGTTCCTTTCGTAAGGTTCTTATGCTTGTATACACGCCGTTCTCTCTGGATCATTAATCGACGCGACAACTCGAGGAAAAATCATTGTACATTGTCGTTTAACCGCAGGTGGAAGAAGCGCGCGGCGAATCGTCCGAATCTACTTAGAACTCGTCCGAATCTACTTGGAACTCGTCCGAACGATTTATTCGCATCGTCCCAATCTACTTCATATCCATGTATATATATATCGTTGAGCGAGCAACTTTATTATGTTTATATTTATTATATTTATTAATTTTCATTTATTAATTTCCTTGAAAATTCATTTGTTCGAAAAAAGTATTTAAATATTTTTTCGTTGTTAGAAAAGTTTGAAAAAAAAACGTCGATTGTGCGAGAATAATAAAAGATACGTATGATTTTCCACGTTGATACATCTTTATACGTATAACTAATTATTTCTTGGTAATTCTCAATTAACGGCGAGTTTAAATGTAAAGCACGTGAAAAGTAAGTTAAAAACTTGATTCGTAGCTAATTGGATGGGATGAGAGACTCGAGGAGTAAAGTTTGATTTGCTGCGATATCCTGCCACGGAAATATATGTTTCGTTTGAATAAATTTATGCGTTAGAGGGGGAGGAGGAGAGGGCCGAGTAAATCGAAAATTTAACAAGGGAAACAAGGAGAGGAGGTTAGGTGTCCACGAGGTTTCTCAATATTAATTCTTTCCTCGGCAACCTATCACTTCGAAATTCGTTCTCGAGAAGATTCGCGTTTGAGAGTCACTGGTTAGAGAGTGCGGGGGTCTATCAAGTAAAGATAATGCGTTTTGCGTCGGGTAATTTGACTTGCCTCCCTTTTTCTCCTCTACGATCTTTTCGTTATTATTACCCTACTTCGAAGATTTTTGCGTCGATACTTGCAATATTTTAGACGCAAGATTTTCGAAAGGATCCGATAATTTATGCAATTGAGATGCATAAAATAATAAAAATAAGTACGCGATGAAACGTTAAAACTGGAGAGAGATATCGTTATAATTCTTTCGCAATTGTGTCGTTGTTCTTTCGAATCAATATATATATATATATATATATATATATACGTTATAACGAAATTTATTAAAGTGTGTTGTGCAAAACACCGTGACACAAAGAGGATTATCGCGTTGATATTTTCACGAGAGTATAGTCCGCATGTAGTCGCTGTACGTAACCGGTGACAGTGTCGACTGTGAGTTGGATGATGGGACGCGTGAAAAGGATTGAAGATAAATGTACATCACATGGTAGGATAATGAAGTTTAATGAGGGTCTGCAGGCGTCATTATAAACCGTTCGAAATGTGCGCGTGCCAAACCGGTTTCACTCTCTTCTTCTTCTTCTTCTTTTTTTTCTTTTTTTTTTTTTTTTTCTAAAGCTCGTTTCTCTTTCACAGTCGTGATTCATGGGATCCCTCTTGGTTGCCCAACGGCCTGTAACATTGCCATCTTATGGCAACGACGCGAGTAGTCTAGAGTATGAGAGAGCCCATTTAGAAGTGGAGCTGCCACTTTTTGCTTCTTCGCTCTTTCATAAGTGAAAAAAAAAAAAAAAAAAACCTCTTAGTTCCCTGACAAAAAAAATTTAATATCCACGTCGTACCCATTTGATTCGAGCACATTCGATAGCCTATATATACATTCGTTCCCGCGACCATCTTACTTCATTTCTCAAGCAATACATTATTTGCAATTAGGTGTGTTTTCAATTTGTCGAGGATGATCGTTTGCGCTCGATCGAGTTTCTTTCACATCTTCGTTCACAATTTCGTCTTCTACGTATTCTCAGAATTTCTTACGTAAATTGTAAACAGAAGTAAGGGTCGGTCGCGTGTACGATTCCTCAAATATTCGGATAATCCGACAGCAAATGGTGTGAACGCAGCTAAATGTCTCAATGATGTCAAATGAACATCACCGCATCGGGCAAATCCAATTACAAATCGGTAGGGTCGGCCCTATTCGCTTGCTTTTCGATGCACCCTAACGTGGTTCAACGCCGAGACGTTCCGAGCCCATTACTAAGCTATGATAATATTTCGATTTCGGTCCTCCGTGTTTGTTCCGTGGAACAAAACTTGCACATGTCCAGTTAAACCGATCTTTCGTCGATCTTTCGTCATTCTTCTATTCTTCTATTATTCGCCGAAGAATTTAACGAAGGATTACGAGTTAGAATGAGAAAGGAAGAAAACGAGAAGCGATATTGAAATCCAGGAAGAAAGGATTCAACGCCTCTCCGCTTATACAACACAAACGATCGTTCGTAAGGGAGATAATGCGTGCACTTGTCCTCGATTTTCTAGTGCTAGTTTCGCGTGCGACGCGGGGTCAGACTGTTTGAAAGCGTAACACAGAGGCGTGTCCTACGAGCGAACCACATTCGCCCCCACTGTAATACCATACGTAGGTGAACCCCGACAACGTTCCCCGGGTATATATCCCCGCCAAGGCAACGGGGGTCCTGCCAAAGATGTTCCGACATATGTGATGCTTATGCGGGGTGGCAGGCAGCACAGCCCTTGGCCTCACGAATTCGGAACATGTGCGTCGAGCAGAACTGTCCTCGATTTCTATAA